GACTAGTTTCGATGGTTTTACCAAATCACCATCCTCAGTATTTATTCGGCGTGTTATTGTGTCTTAAGTTATCTCATGTTGGGCAGTCAACGTGTTAAAGAACCTTTTTATTTTGCTCTCCGCTTGAACCTAAAGTTCACAACGTATGCTATGGACAAAATTTTTGCAACTTGTGACTATTTTAAATAAACAGAACAGACAATTAAATTCAAACATTGATTACGTAGTCGAAGACTAAATGTTAAATAGAATAAGCTGGCTCATATATTTTACTGGTGCTTATTTAAAGCATCAGCTAGTAAGAATGCTAAAGCCAGAATCTAATTTTTAAACTGAGCTGGCCGAAAATATTAACAGCAAGATGCAATTTGCAGAAGCTGTCTTAAAACCCACGGTGTAAATTCATACAAAGCTAATTTGCATTCTGATGAGGAATATAAGGAGACGTTATAGCAAAGACTAAAATCATAATAACTGGTTAATTAATATACCTTAAAAAACTATTATCCTGCCTCTTAATTTAAGAGGTTAAAAACTGCTGGTATTTTGTCCTGGAAACCAACCCAGGCGAACAAACTGGCTTCATGCTTTTCCCCAAGTGAAAAGTGTATTCAAACCACTTTTCGTTGGAAAAATCCTCCATTAAGGCATTTCTTTCCTTAAACAGATAGCTTTCATGTACTTTGTTCTATTTAAATAAGCAACCAACTTAATTTGTGTGCCATTTCTAAACTAAGCTAACCAGAAACTTGCCACAGCTTAGTGAAGTTATCCAATCTGGAGGAATAGATATACATTGCCAATGGTTGAACTGCCATTGTCACTTATGATTAGAATTCAGGTCTTGACAAACCACAATTTGACTTTTAAAAATATGTTTATTCTAAATGCTATTTTACATAAAAATACATTTTGTTTTGAAAAAAGAAATTGTCTTTGATGATAATAAGGGGCTTTTTCAAATATAAACAACAATTTGTTTAAATTATTATGCAGTAAAGGCCACTAAGTCTCAACATCTTCAAAATCATTTTTATTTGTTGTGTTTGCTACGCAAGACAAAAATCTTACATTCTAGTAAATTTTGCTGCTGTTAAGCATTTCTGTAATAGGAAATGGCATATTTTATTTGTATTTTTGGTGTATTGTTTGATACACCCAGAAGTATTGAAAGCATGTATGATGCAGAGATCTCAGTAAAATAAATTTAATTGCATATAAAATAAAATAGCAGATGATAAAATGCAAACATAAAAATTTACTCCTGTGAAAGGGGGAAAAAATCTAACTTTTGATTAATATTCTTTATAAATTAAAAAAATAGCATTTCTTGTATTATTATTAAATATTTATTAGGCATTTTTAATAAGAATGAAAATAAAGAAATTCTCAGTGAATGATTCTCAGTAAAAGCGTGTTTGAAATTTAAGATTAAAAAACATTTGCAACTCATTAAAGATAATAACAAGATTCATAAACCTCATTTGGTTTTATCACTAATAACAAATATGCCATCTCGTATACCTTGGGAAAGTTTAAATAAAGAGCTCTTAATTTTTGACAGGTATGCCTAGAAATACATCTTCCTTAAAATGATAAAAATTGTATAGGTTGTAATTCAAAATGTTTTTTGGGAAACTTAAAAAAATTATTTAAAAATGTAAATTTAAAAAATAAATCATAAAAATGTGTACGAATTTTATTTGCACTGGATCTAAATTTTGAATTCTAAGAGAAAGATTCAATTAAGTTTATAAGCAAATATTACATATAAAATATATATATTAAATTAAAATACTCATATAATACTATATTCTGTTATATTATATATAATCTCTTCATATAATAAAAGAAAGAGTCTGTCTTTCGTTCGCGCTGCACGTAAGCAAATAGACCCACGGCTACGAAATTTGGTACATAGGTGCATCTAGACAAGAGCCAATGCACCTCGAAGTGATTTTTTTCGAAATTCGAATTAGAATTTTTTTTTATTTTATGTTTTGTGATGAAATCATGTCATTTTGAGACATAATGGGCTATAGGAAAGCGAGATTTTACTCTACACACTCCATTTTCACATCGTCATGAAACGTAGGCACTTAGCTATTTTATGAACTTAAAATAAATTTCGTTTTTCAATAAATCGATTAAATATGAAATTATTTAACAAAGGGAGCTTAACACCTTTTCAACGGGATTTTTTCTAAAAAAGTTTATTTTTAAAAATGTACAGTTTATTTTTCTTTGATTTTTGGACACGTTAAACTTTTATCCTTGCGACTGCTTTTACAAAACGAATTTTGGAAAAATGATAATATTTTGTATTTTTAAAAGATTTTTAAATGAAGCTTCCGAGTACACTTTTCACATCTCACATCTTTAAAAATGGGGTTTTGGCAACAATTTTCCTGTCTTATTGTTGTTGATAGATTTTTGATGAAATCGCATCATTTTGAATTGTTTCATTCTTTTAGAAATATATGTTTGGCAGCAATTTTTCATTGTATTTCTTTATGTCACTGTCTTTAAGAGATTGGCATATTTCAATGTCATTTATATATATATATAATACATTTTTATTGATTTTTTTGATAAAGTTGTTCTGCAGAGTAAAATTCTGCATGGAATTTTATGTTTTTTGAGTTGCTTTCATGTTATTTTTTGCTTATTTCACTGTTTGTAAGATATTGAAAAGTTTTGCATGATTTTTTTTTCTTCAATGGGAAGTTGGTTAATTTTTTATTAGGATAATTAATGTTTGTATTAAGGGATATAGCTTATTTCATTGTAATTTTTTCTCTTGAAAATATAAGATAAAATATCATTAATTATACTTTGCTTTTCAGTTTTTTTTTTTTTTTTTTTTGTATTCTTTTATGTTATTTATTGCTCATTTCACTGTTTTTAAGATATCGAAAAGTTTTGAGTGATTTTTTTTTTTTTTTTAGGAAACAAAGTTCTTAACCTCCTTTATACCATTTGAGTTCTTAAAATTTTACAAAGGGAAGTTGGTTAATTTATTTATTAGGATAATTAATATTTGTATTAATGGATATTGCTTATTTCATTGTAATTTTGTTATACGTAATAACTTTTTTTTTCATGAAGTTGTTCTGAAGAGTAAAATTCTACGCAGTTTTTAAATTTAATGTTTGGTGTTTCCTTCAGCCATTTTTCCGGTACATTTAAAAGCCAGACGAAGGCTGGCGAAGTTCAATTTATATTAAATTCAATTAACATTGAGAAGCCAAAATTCTGAGACTTAAAAAAATTACTAGGGTGATTTTTACAAAACATAGCATTTTCACATAATGTGATTTGTAGGTTGGAATATGGAAAAAAATTTGTATGTCATTTCAGAAAAAGTCCAATTTTGTGTCAAAATACCTATATTTAAAGCATTGCTGTATTTAAATCTAATATAATATAAATCATGCCTCGAGACGTAAAAAACATTTGAATTTCATCAATTGTACTAGTAGAATGAGAGATATAGAACTGTCCCACTTTTTGGGGGGAGGGGTGGACAAAGACTGCATATTTAAAGACACTTGTTATACTCTTGAAATACCCAAATTTATATCAGATTGCATGCCATATGTTTGCTAACACAGGAACAATTAAATCTGCAAGTCTTCTGTGTTTTTATTTGCCATTAGGGATTTGTTTAAATGAATATAAAATGAGTACTATACAGGATCACTTTCCATAAGAGAATTTAAAGGAGATTTAAAAATTTCCAGAAGAGATTTAAAAAAAAAAAATAGCAAATGTAGCAGCAAGACAGCAGTTTTTAGAGATGTAGTTACCTCTAAAAAGCATAGTTATGTGCCATCTCTTTTTTTCACAGACGTTACCTTGAGAGGTTGGGTTAGGTGTAAAAAAAAAATAAGGAACACCAGACACATTAATTCTATAACTACATAACGTTTTCAATCAAAACTCTTTATAGGAGGTATGATAACAGATTGCTATGTAACCTGGGAAGAACACCAGTTTTTTCTTCGCATGTGTATAATGAATGATCTATTTTCACTTTTAAAAAAATCAGAATTGTACGGTCAAAAGTCGTTAATTCGGACAACCCATAATCCGGAATGATCTATAATCCGGACCTCAAAGCTACAAACTTTCCTTTACGGCTGTGAATATGCGTGTGCACAAAATATCTTTACGAATGCACGTTTAATATATAATGGACGGTATAAGCTAAGCTAAAATTATCTAATTCAGTTAATGTGGCAGATTGCGTTGTTTCTTAATCTTCGAATTGGATTTCGCTTATTATTTTTTTGCAGACTGTTAGAGCAATTTTATAAAAGTAAGCTTGAACTTTCGATTATGTCAAATAGAATTTCTGACATATATTTACTAATATGTAAAGGATGTACGAAGCGAAAGTATGTTTCGAAGTCCATTAAACAAAAAGTGGAATTGCTGCAAAAAATGGATAAAGGCATATCCTTTGTTTATCTAAACTTTAACGTTTATCTTTAATGCCGCGGCGCGCAATGAATTGGAAGTTGATCTGTCAGCACTATCCTTACCTTCAGGGCAGATGTTTTTATTTTATTTGGCTTATAATTCCTTATTAAATGTAGTATTTCATCTTGATGTACTCCGTTATTGATATGATTTAAATCAAATTCGTCGTCATTATAATTCGCTTCCGATAGCGAAGAAAGTGACAAAGATTATTGAAAATGAAAAAATTTCGATTGACAAATTAGTCGGTATTCTCGACACAGCAATTATAGGACTTGAACAGCGGAACTTTGTAACTGAACAAGAAATTATGTCTGTTTATAGTCTATTATCACATTAAAAACGAAGTAACTTAAACAACTTACATTGAAAGAAATGTTTAATAAAGTAAACAAATAAATATTAAGCTTTTCTTTTTTTGTAAATTTTGATACCCTTTAGATCATAATTGTTCTTTATTTCATAAATTACGGTTTCATATTTTTAATTTTAAAATTTCTGCATGCCATCTTACCAGATTTAAACTGATAATCTATAATCCGGAATCGTCTATAATCCGGAAGTCCGACGAGTCCGGATTAACGACTTTTGACTGTATAAGTATTATCAACGTGCATAGCTTTGAAGTGCACAAATTAAATAATATATATATATATATATTATATTTTGTGTATATAAATTAGTTATTCTTTTCACGAAGCTTTATGTGTCATTAGAGTTACTGCCATCTAGTTAGATTTTATGCCAACGTTTATATTTTATACTAAGTAGTGGGCCATTTAACAAAAGAGAACCTATAGTCTTTGGTGTGTAAAATAAGATGATGTAAAATTTCATTTTTTGTTGTTGTTGTTGTTGTTATTTAAAAGAAACAATGTTACACATATTAGGGTATTCTAACTTAGAAAGAGTATTTATTCTAGATGAATTTGTAAAAGTATTGTTTTAATTAAACTGAATGTGGTACGACTGATATCTAAAGTACTACTGGTGTAATAAGTAACTAGGAAAGAAGTAGGAATGACGTATTGTTTCTAAACAGTTAATTTCAATAAAAGTAATTTGTTCTGAATAATCATGAGACATGCTTTTGCATTTCAATAAAAATAGAAAAAACAGAAGTAAAATAGAAAAAAAATTGTATCAATCTTCAAAATCTGAAAACATATATATTTGGTCTTCCAGAAAGTTGTGTCTGTTTCTATGACCAATATTCAACACGTAAGCACATGTTTATTTGGCACATGTTTGGCCCTCTATTTTTATCACTTTATGTATATATACTGACGTAGCAAATTCACTAAAGCAAAGTTGATTCACGTTATTCTTAAGTGTGAAGCAATATTGTATTCATGGCTACTGATAAAGTTCAATTATGCCACTGTATTTTATATGAATTTACAAGAAAGAAATGCTACAGAAGCATGTAGAAATTTATTGAAAGTGTTTGGTGAAGGTACAGTTTCTGATAGGACATGTAGAAGACTGTTTGAAAAATTTGAAATAGGTGATTTCGACCTTACTGATAAGTCACATTTTGGCGACCATCTTTGATCGACAATGATGTTAAGACCATGTTGAAGCAAGATATTTTTCTGACAACATCGAAGATCGCAGAAAAGCTTAATTCAGCTCGGGAAACCATTTCGGACCATATTCAAAAGATAGGATTGACATGGAAATATTCAAGATGGGTGCCATATGAATTAAGTCGCAAGAATTTGGATGATCGAGTTGTCGTGTGCACATCTGTGCTTGCTCGGAACAAAATCTAGCCCATTTTACACCGGATTATAACTGGGGGTGAAAAGTGGATTACCTACAAAAACATCGTAAGGAAAAGGGCATATTATGAGCCTGAAAAAACCTAGCCTTTCCACGTCTAAACCAAATTTGACTCTGAATAAGAGAATGTTGTGTATATGGTGAGACATTTGAGGATCAATACATTATGAGCTTTTAAAACCGAAAAGCCCAATTTGGAGAAGTATTGTCAGCAACTCGAGAATTTAAAGGCCAAGGAAAAAAGCCAGTGATGTTCAATAGGAAGGTTGAATTTTTTCCTTATTGGAATTCGTACAAAATACAGTGTCATAAATGAACTTTATTGGCAGCCATGTTACACAATCGCATCTCACGTAATAATGATATGAGACACTTAAGTTTCAATTAATTTAGAAGAGCACATGTGCATAAATGCAATAAGGAGAAATAGCCAAATATATATATATGTCTCAAATGAATGCATGCTTGTGTGTTGGAACTTGAAATAACATCCAGTGGACAGAACTTTCCAGTGGGTCATATCTATACACATACACATATTTCATGTTTTGATATTTACAGATAGTATAATTCTGGACCTGATAAAACCGAAAGTAAGATACTAATATTTTAGTCTTATTTCTGAAGGAATGATAAAGTAATGAAAAGTATTTTTATTATACTATATAGTATCTATCATATAATTTCAAAAGATGATAGAACAGTAAAAGTCTTGTTCTTCATTCAAAGCATTAAAATATTAATCTAAATCATGTTTATAGTCTTTATGCTGTTGAGATTGTCATGGGAAGACAGAGGGTTATTTGCTTTGCTGTATGAGAGGCTGTTGAAAAGTTTTGCTTGTTAATAAAAATTGGTAAAAATGAAATTAATATTGCATGAAGTTTCATCAGAAAAACTTAATTTTTTCATTCACTGAAATCAATTTTTAAAGCAGTCAGTCCTTAGTCTAACGTGTTGTTCTATAGAATTTATTTATTTATGTATTCTGCTGCTACATCTTTTCATTAAGTGATGAAAACTTTCCTTCTCTTCTCATTTTTCACTGAAATCACGTGGTGCTAGATCAGGCAGGTAAGCTGAATGGTACAAAATTCTTATTCTTGCCAAGTTCCTGCAGCTTATAGATGGGTGCATTGTCATGATGCAATATGAAGATCAATTTTTGGTTTATTTTCAGAATAGTTATTAAACACTGTAGAAATCAAATTGCTTCTGTAATAGCATTTTATGTTTGTAGTCAGTTAGAGGATGATAATTTTTTGGCCATTTCCTTGTCTTTGCTTTTCCTTTTATCAGTTAGGTTAATTAATTAGGACAAAATAATTCAAGGGCTATTTGTCCATTGTGATGGATGCCTTTGTAGAGGAAAACTGGTACTTTTCATATAACACATGAAGAAAACAATAAAACTCCCATCTAGCCAGGCCATTCATCAGAATGAACCTGAGTTGAACTACCAGTGTTCATGGACTCAGCTAATGATGGGCTGCAGGACACTGGAACATATAATTCTGTTATTAGTTCAAGGTGATGTTTCCTCAACTTCAAAGATATTTTACTGAATAAATTTTAAAATTTATGTAGATAAAAATCATATTATGTAAGTTGTTCTAAAGAAATTTTATTTATTAAAATGGTATGTTAATAAATCCTGTATACTTTTAACAACTGTTTATATAATTTATAAAAAAAAATCAAGATTTTATTGTAAGCTGGTATGTCATCTTTGATGACCTACTGTTGATCAGAAATTCTAATCTCAACTCCAAAGGTGTGGGTTTAAATGTTACATAAGCCTTGATTGTTTTTGATTGTTTTTGTTTGTCCTTCCTTGTTCTTATGGGTGTAGCATTAATTGTCCCCTGTAGAAAAATGTTGTTGTGTACAAATTGCTAAATGGCCAATGGTTTCAGATGTTTTTGATGAATATATTAAAAGGCAATTGTGTAGTCATTTTTACCCCCAAAAGGGGCTCTTAATCTTGAAAGGGGATTTTATCTCAAGAATCACTATATATGTGGGGTATCACTTTTCATTCCACTCTCTTGCCATATGGCAAAATGCAAGATATTTATCTTTCAAATTGATACTCTTGAATTGGATTGTTTTAAATATTGAAAATTTAATTTATGTCTAATTAAAAATATTCGATATTTTCATAGAATAATATTATGTATTTTTGATTTTTATTTCATGTTTTGTAAAACATTAATAAGTTTTACATTAACAAACTCAATGATTTGAAAGTGAGCAGTGGCAACAAGTGTATGGAATAACACTTCAGTGCATCAGACTGTCTCTCAGAAATTCTGCTATTTTAAGATAAGCTGTTTTTAAAGATATGCTGTTTTTAAATATTTTGTGATTTTGCATTGAGTAGAATTTTATGTGGCATACGTGCAAAGAATATATTTAATAAGAAAACTAAATATTGATATGATGAATTAAGAGTGAAAAAAAGACTGAAAAAATAGAAAAATGTGTGCCAACACTTAACACTGCACTAAGAGGTCTAAACATATGCTGCTTTTAAAATCTTTGTGATTTTACTGTAGAACTGTGTGTGTTATAAGTGTGAAGAAAAAGATGCTTAATAATAAGGGTAAAAAAAAAAAAAAATTGATTAGTAGGAGTGAGTGTAACAACTGACTGGTAGACTGTTAGCTCACTGAGATCTTAAGAAACCTTAACAAACACTTTGGAGCAATTGTTAAAGTCTCAAAACTTTTTTAACTTGAAAACTTGAAATTTCTTCTTTCAAGCAAAGTGTGATTTTTTAGTGCTGTGGCAAAAGTAATGAATTTTTATTTCATTTATAGTTGTTTTGTTAATTGTTTCATTTTTTCTTAATTTTCTCCCCCTCGTAGGTCTGAGGCCATTGCTCTTTTGAACGATACTCCTGCTAAATGTTTACCTTTGATTAAATTCAGAGAATTATATGAAATAAGGTAATTATTTTATTATTTTTAAAATCTTGAATTTCCCATAATAATTTGAAATATTTCATGTCACATATCCTTTTACTTTTAAAATGCATAAAACTTGCCCCCCCCCCATAGCATAATATCAGTGTGTGTTTTCAAATTTTACATGGTTTTGGAAATGCTGCTAATATATATTTTCGGAATTTTTCTTAACCTGGGTAAGAAAATTACATGAAAAATTCTCTAAATAAGCATTTAAAAAATTATTTGATTGATTCAGCGAATACTTTTGATTTAAAATTTCATTAAATCTAGGAATTTAATCATGGAATTATCTCTCTCAGCATTTAAATAAGCATAGTAAATTCATGACAGGTTAAAAAGTTCCTTGACAAAAATTCAGTTATGTGACACATAACTGTATATCTGTGTGGAATGTTAATGCAAGAAACACACAAATATTTTCACAAGTAACATTTTTTTTTACTTGGTATCATTAACTGCCCCCTTCCTAGTATCTATTCTAAAATAATAGATACTAGGAAGGGGGTATCTATTCTAAAATAATCTTCTGTTTTCTTATTATTCACATTTTAATAATTTATTTGGCAAATTTTGAAAAGCATTCTGGTATGTTTGTTCATGCTGGCACTTGAATTTGTCATTTGCGGAAACTGGATACGAATGCTTTCAGGAGTTTTACTCATGTCTGTAGTAGAATATAGATCCTCATGTATATTGTTGTGTACTATGTGTTGGTTGATATCTCTTTAAATAATCAATACAGATAAGTAGGAAGAAACTAATAATTTATTGTAAAAATTTGTGGCACATAATGCAATAAATAATTGCAAATAATAAAAATTTGTGGCACATAATGTAATAAATAGTTGTGACTGATTTGGAAATTCATGATATCTGCTATGAGAAAGCAGATATCATCAATTTCTAAATCAGTCACAGATTAAACTCTTAAATCACCAATCTAAACAATTTAGTTAACATTCTTTGAATCAGCACTGGATCTCACAATTGTTTAATGACCAATTTATCTGAAATCTGCTATGTATTTATATGGATTTTAAAAGCTTCAGGTTGCCAAGTTGGTGAGAATTCTCCAGATGTTGCCAAGTTGGTGAGAATTCTCCAGATGTTGCCAAGGAATATCAGGAAAAAAATTTGCTCAAATCTCAAGTTCTAATTGAGCTATTTTTACAGTTTAGCATGTTGAGTACGAAATCTGTTTTGTCTTCATTTCCATTTAACATGCAATATCTGATTTCATCAACATGTTGGCAGCCAGAGATCTGTGTAGAATTTGATAGAAGAATATAATTTTTTAAATTGTCTGTTAACAGTTAACAGTGACTGATGCAGTCTGAATGAAAAGTATATGTTAGGTAACTAACCGACTGACATTTTCCAAATTGAATGTATACTGTCAGTGATAACTGATGTGGTCTGAATGGAAAGTATAGTGTCATTCATGGGCAGCTAACATGTTGCTCAATATTTCAAATGTTGTGGGTCACAGAATTGCATATTTTCAATAAGAAATAAACATTTATATACTAAATATGTGGCCACAAATTTGATTAAATGTGAAAATAACTTATAAAGCAAAGCAACAAATATCTAAATTAAACAGTGCGTAAATATTACAACAGAAAAACAACAATGCACCTAAAGGAATTTAAATATTTACAGAAATTTACAACACTATGGATAGTGCTAAATAAGTATCCCCCCTTCAGCTTTTGTTCTGTATAACTTTGGCTATTGTTATGGCAGTCTTTGACCTACATTTTTTTTAATAAATAAAAAAGTTCAATTTGAATATTTAAGATATCTAAATATGCATTAAGAAGTGCAAATAAATCTGAACATACAAGAAAAATTTTGAATTCAAAAATTTGGTAAATTTCTGTGAATCGCATGATGCGATTTTCACAGAAAGACTTGGGATGCTTTTAAAAGTTTTTTTAGAAAAAGTATGCAAAAATTATTACATTTTTACATAATTATTTAGGGGTGTACAGTGTTCACTCAACATTATTGGCCATACTGAGAGGAGTTATTCACCATCATGTGGCAGGAATCACAGCTAATTCCTTTTAGATGCTGTGCAGAGTATCGTACCTTATTTTGTGGACATTGCAATGTACATTTTTAATACTAGCTGCATTATTAGCAGTGCTGTTTAGCTGTGTGAACTTCTGATGCAACTGAAGTAAAACCTGTTAGTGAATAGCTATCCAAGAAATAGGAAAGACATAGGAATTAATGAGTCTTTCATTATTAATTCCTATGTCTTTCTTTGAAAACTTCATTATATGATTCTCTATACCTTTCAAATTATTGAATTTTTACATTTGTGCTACTTTTAAATTACTTATTATATAATGTACATAATTGAAAAAAAAAATATTTGCAACAAAAATGGTGTAAGTGCAAAAGTTTTAACATCCAGAGGAGATGTAGTTAAAAACCTTCAAAATATGCTGCTAGAATTTTTGTGTATTGTGCCGATTGTATAGCAAATATTGATCTCTTTCTGATTAACTGTATTTTACATGTTGTTCCATAAATGTACAGGACATTTGTTGAAATTTTCATAAGTTTGATATCATTTCCATTGATACTCAACTGTAAGTATAATATCCCTAGCACTGCTACCTATAGTGATGTGTAAGTATGCTATCCGTAACATAGTACAGATAGCATACTTATACATCTGATAGCACTGAGGTATAATATGATGACTGACTGGGAAAATTTTACAGAGTATGTGAATGAACCTCCTTTTATCATCTTGAGAGAAAACTCTTTAACTGAGCCAATGTCTTTCTTCAAAGTATAGTTGGGGTTTTTCATCTCTAGTCCACCAATATATCATTTTATCTATATATTTATGCATATCTTTTTAATCATAAATTTAACCTTTTTCCAAATTAGCATCTGCAGCATTATTACATCACGAAACATACTTTAATTTTTAAAAAAAGTAACTGAAATCTTTGCTTTAGGTAGTTAAAATTTGTGTTCACCATCAGATATTATAGTCATTCTTTGTGTTCATGACTGAAAATTACAAGTTCATTTATTTGATTTTAAATATTGACTAACTATCACCCAAGATTATGGGGAGTAAGTTTACAAATATATTTGTGTAAAAATGTAAATTTAAAAAGTGCGTTTAAATCGTACTTGTAGATGAAAGTGTAAAATTTTCATTACTACTGACCTCTTAACTATGACTACAGCCTGTAGGCATAAGGACAATATGTTTTGTATTTTTTTAACATTTAAAGCATATTTGATGGGGCATAGGGTAAATTCATGTCAGAAGTGTGAAGAAGCGTTTATTAAAAGTAGTATGTTAATTTAAAATTAGTACATCAGTAATAAATTTGTGAGTGGGAGGGTATTAATTATAAAAGGGTTTCACAGAAGATCTGTAACTTATTTATTTTTTGACAGGTATCACAGAGCCATTCCATTATCTGAATTATACAAAATGCGTGATGTTGTGACTATTCAGGGTGATTCTGGCAGCCGTGTTATAAAACTGAATACAGGGTATTGTAAAACACCATCATTATCAGAATCTGAAGATTCTCAGGTGAGCGGAGATTTTTTTTTTTTTTTTTTTTAATTTGTGTGTGTGTATGTATGTATGCATGCATGTGCGTGCGTGCTTCATTAAGTTGAATAATAAATTTTCATAATTTAGTTAAAATACGTATTAATAAAACTAAATGTGATGAATTTCTGTAAGAGCCAAGTTTAATATATATTATCTAAATTAAATTACACATTTAATTGTTCCATAATATGTTCATTTTATTTTAAGGGTACACTTATTTAGTTAAAAAATTATTCTTGTTTTCTTTGTAAACTTATGTCCCCCAGTGATCGTAGGTACTATTTACTATGTTTACTACTATACTGTCAAAATTTACTTGAAGGCTTTTTGTAATTTATTCTTCTTAAAAAATACTAGTTTTGTATCTGTCAAGAGAGAGGTATTTTTATAGATTTTTCTATATAAGTATTTATTTTAGTCTTGTTAAAAACACCAAAAATTATGAAGTGTAGTTATAATATTATAACAATTGACTAAGAGTGATTCACAGATAATTCAAACTTCTTACACGATTAAAGTGGAGTAAAATTCATTGCACAAATGATTTTTTCAGAAATAATGCTTAGAAAGCTGTATATTTAAAACAATTTACAAATGGAAATTAAAAGTTCACTATAAAATCAGTATGGTACGAAATCTGAGATCCAGATGCCCAGTATCCGAAGTGATCTAAAATCTGCACCTCAAAGCCACCAACCCCCTTTTTTTTAATGCTTTACCCATTTGCATTTGATTTTTTTCCCCTTCATAATAAAACATGTGGAGAGTCCCGATTCTTAATTTCGTTTTGGACAGAAAACAAAAAAATTTCGATTAACAAGTTGGTCGAAATTCTTTCCACAGCAATTATAGAACTTCAAAAATGAAACTTCATGACTGAACAAGAAATTATGTCTGCCTACAGAATTAAAAAATATATATATATTAGCATAAAAAACGACATAACCTTGAACAAAGTTCATTGAAGGAAATGTTTAATAAAGTATAGAAATAAATATTAAGGTGGTTTTTTTCTCTTAATTTTGAAACCCTTTAGATCATAAATCACAATTTCATGTTTTTAATTGTGTAATTTCTATGTGCAATCTTACAAGATTTAAACTGATGATCTAATATCCGGAAAAATCCCAAATCCAGAACTGCCGAAGTCTGGATCTCAGACATTGTACTGTGTAAAATTTTTTGGATCCCCCTTTTTTTAAGCACAGGAATGGAAATATCTGTGAATATTTTTTTTTTCCCAAGCAATGAGAATAAGGTCACAAAAACTAATATTTTTATGAATTTGATTTCCAAAGTGTGATCGTTGAAGATAGTAGGGGAATTAGCAACAGGGAATCACCCTATGCTGTTAGCCTTGTATCTGAGTCATGGGTAAGTCTTAGGCATTTATCAGTGTATGGTGTCTTTTGGCATGAGGGTAATTAAAATCTATCAATTTTTGTTCAGAAAGCAGTATCAGAAGAGTACTACATCCTGAGATTACATTCTTTAAGATACTCTGTGTCAAAATAGGATAGAACCTGCATGTACATTGCTTTAATAAAATAATACAAATCAGCAGGTTGATCACATGGAATTTTGTTTTTCAGTTTTTCGTGTATGCTACGTGTGTAATTTTCCCTCAGAGTTCTCTAAGAAGGCATTTCTGTATGTGCAGCTACCATGGCGCTTTGTAATAAGTAACTAATCAGCCTTTATAATTAATTCTCTTTGTCATGAATAATCTTGCAATTTAATTTCAATTCTTACTCGTCTTATAGTACTTCCATATTTATTTATCCAGTTCGAGTATCAAATTGCTATTATCTTTCATCATCAGAAAACTCTAAGCATTTAATATTAGTTGGAAATAAAGAGCATCAATTTATATTATGAATTGATTGTTTTAAATTATTTCTATGCTATCCTTATTTTAAAGAGTATTGAATCAAAAATGTATCTAATATAAATCTTGAGAGCAGTCTCTATAAGAAGCTATCTATATCTACATGCTTATTCATTATTTAATGAATGTTTGGATGTTTTTGATTTTTTTTCCTCTGTTTGGTAAAAATATATATATATTTATGTTTATAGGAATTTAATGTAATTGAAAGACCATACTGTGAGCGTCATTTCCGTGTTAGTTCTTCTGAAGGTTGGGCTGAGCAATATAGTATATGCCCTTTGCCTCTCGTTTATATGTCTCTTAAAACTCTTGCAACTGCTGTGCATACTTTATTGGACAGTCACCAAGGAACACTTCCACTCATCAGGTAATTTTGTGTTTTGCTTTTCTGAAAAGTAAATGTACGCTGTGCAAAAAAAGGGGGGCCCTGTTCTATATCTCCCATTCTACTGAGCCAATTGACGAACTTCAAATTGCGTTTTTCAAGTCTCGTAAGCGCGACTTAGGATATATATTAGATTTATGTATATCATTGTTCTAATATAGATATTTTGACACAAAATCTTACTTTTATGAAATGACAGGCCAATTTTGTTTTCATATTTTGATTCTACGACTCAAGTTATGCCTAAATATTAAATTTTGTAAAATTTGGTGTGAAATTTACAGAGAAATTCAAAAATTTACCTTGGTGAATTTTTTCAGTTTGCGACAAGAATATTTCACTTGATGACCTTCTTAATTTATGGTAACCTAGATTCCTTTCCTTTTTCTCATTGTACATAAATGGTGTAAAAGTCATTATTCATTCTTTCAAAATAATTTTAACAAAGTGCATAAATTTCAGTGATTAAATATCTAAGATAAACCTTATTTTAACATACTATATAAATGAAAATTTTTCATTTAAGTTCTATTTTCATCAGTAACTAAGATTTTAATGCAATTTTATAGTTTATTTATGTGTTTTTATAGGGAGAAACACAATTCAGTATCTTTCACAGAAAATAATAATAATATGCTAATACTCAGTTCAGTTGGCATTATTATCACTTATAATAAATATGCCAAATTTCAAAACATGCCAATATTTTTTCAAAACATGCCAATATTTAAATTCACGTATATCTTGGGTAATTTTAAATAAAAACTCATTTTTTGGCAAGTATGCTTAGAATTACATCTACTTTAAGATGGTGGTAAAAATTTTATAGGTTATAATTCAAATATTTTTTCGAAAAATTTATAAAAATATTTAAAAATGGACAAATTTTATTTGGAATGAACCTAAATTTTTAAATGTGAAAGGAAGAATAAATTACGTAAAAAAAAAGAGAGAATAATAAATATAAAACAAATTCAATTAACTGGGAGGAGCTAACATTTTGAGAGCTAATTTTTTAAAAACTACTTGTGTGAATTTTACAAAACTTGCATATGCCATAATTTAAGTCATAGACTCGAATAATGGAAAAAAATTGGTATGTCATTTCAAAAAAGTCCAATTTTGTGTCAAAATGCATATATTAGAACAATGCTGTATAAAAATCTAATACATATTCTAAGTTGCGCTTTCGAGATATGAAAAACACAATTTGAACTTTTTCAATTGGTCCAGTAGAAAGAGAGCTATAGAACTGTCCCTTTTCTGTTTCCGTGCAGTGTATAGTTTTGTACTCAGTATCATTGGATAAAACAGTGAACTTGTCAAAGCTTTTCCAGAAAATAAGGGAAGTTAATTTTTAGTATAGTAATTTCTGTTTTAAATAATTGTCTTTATTATTGATTGTCTGTATTTCTTTATGTATTTACATATATAGACATTTGCATAAATAATCTTTCAAAGAATTTTTATATTTTATTTAAGTTTCTTAGTCTACAAATGTATGCTTGCATCATTCAATTATTTTTCATTAAAATGTAAAAATCTTTTGAGATATTTTGAACTGTTTTATGTGTTCCAGATTTAAAAAATTAGTAAGATTTTACAAAACTGAGTATTAGCATATTATTATTATTTTCTGTGAAAGATACTGAATTGTGTTTCTCCCTATAAAAACACATAAATAAACTATAAAATTGCATTAAAATCTTAGTTACTGATGAAAATAGAACTTAAATGAAAATTTTTCATTTATATAGTATGTTAAAATAAGGTTTATCTTAGATATTTAATCACTGAAATTGAAAATTTGTCTAAAATTCAATTTAGTTGTAAAATAACTATTTTATACACTTTTTGAATTTAGTGTGCATTTTTATTTTTTAATATGTGTTGTATTAAGTGTCTGATATGTGCAGGAATAATGACAATGGCAGATTTTGCTATCAACAGTCTTGGTTGGCCTTATGGGCAGCTAACCAATGTGTGCTGTTTACAAATTGTTTTGTCTGTAGGGAATTTTTGGTTAATATTTCATGTCAAACTCTCATTCTACTGTCATAACCAATTCATATTTAATAAATTCTAAGATATTGTGACATAGTTCACTAGCCATGTTTGTGTTATATTGCTAGATAATATTATGATTGCTACTTATCAGCTGAATCTATAATTAAAAGAGAACTTGGAGAATTTCTTTTTTGTGTTATTTTATACTATATTTTGCGGTATTTATTTATATTATTATACTATAACTTTAGAAACATCAGCGGGGATTAAGAATTATCCTATAATAATAGTAAATTTAAATTATTTTATTGTGAAATAAATATAACTCGGTGTTAATTATAAAGCTTCAAATGAACAAAGATTTAGCCTTTTAAAAGTTGGTTTAACTTAATTCACAGAAACTTTTATAAAATAATTGGTCATTGCTTTTTTCTTTCATTCAGGAATTATAGTTAAGACATTTACTGGATGTTTTTACTTTGCAGTTTATTAGTTTGCTTAAATATTTATCATAAAGCTGATTTTCTCATTGACTACATTAATTATGAATTACCATATTTGACGGCATATAAGACGCACTTTTTTTTCCTAAATTTGGTCTCAAAAAAGTTACCTGATTCTTATACGTGAAGGATACAGTCTTATGCATGAAGGTAATTGCATTCAATACTTGTTTATTTGGCTTTTACAAAATGTGAGAACTAAAAGAAAACACGCTATTGAAACTTTTTTTCCTTGCGTGTGGCCGTCTAATAAGGGTGTGTCTTATATGCCGTCAAATACGGTACTTACTTGCTTATAGTTTATCTTTTATTATATTATGGGGAGGCAATGGTTTAATCAGAGGATTAAAATCATTAATTTAAGTCGTGATTTTAATCAGTTTTATATATATATATAATTAAAATCGGATATACCTCTCTGTTTTTAAAAGATGGGAAACAATAATTGAAATCAAAGATTAAGATATGCGTGTATACGACCCAGTTTACCTTAGAAAGTCCTCCACGAAGGCGTCCCTCCCCTTAGGCAGATAGCCCTAGTCCGCTTTGCCATAACTGAATAATACAAACAAACAAACAAAGTTTAAGATAATTTGTAATGATTTTCATGTAAGATTTTTATCACTGAATGCAAAAAATGGAAGGTTTTTAAAGAAGTAAAATTGTTTAAAATACTTTAAACCAGCCTTGAGTCCATGTCCATCTAGTCTTAAGCATAAATCTGATAATGGGTGCTCTAATACAAAATACATTTTATGTTTCAGTTGTAAGAACACTCTTATTTTGTAAAATTAATGGAGATGCTACATCCTGGATATGAGACTCCAATTAAAAGTAAATTAGTGGTAAATTATTAAATAATGTATATGAAGAATAAATATATAAATGCAGTAATGCTTTATTTGCTAAAAAAATACATATAGAGCTAGACTGTTGATTCTAATATCCATTATCAGCCATCTGTTTAAGTGACTGTGCAAAGATCAAGCTGCACATTTAGTAGAAACTATCGATATACCATATACTAGTGAACTTTTACTTATCCTTGGTATTGAAGCCAATAAAAAATTTGAAAACAAATATAAAGGTGAATTTGTAATAAAAAATACTGCAAAATATGGTGGAAAATGGAAAAAGAATTGAAAAACAATTTTCACCTGATATCTTACAGTTGTACACCTATTACTGTTACAGTTATATACTTAATTTATTAGCCAGATTAAATATATCAAGTGTTACTGAGAATCTTGTTCAAGTCATAAAATATTTTTGAAATTATCAGTTTGTCTGAGCTAAATTTAAGAATACAATGGAACTACTTTAAATATGCCATCTGAAATACATTCAGACTCAGTTTGTGATGCTCTATGAAGAACTGGCTTATTTTCATGCAGATTTAAGAAGAGAATTGAGATGCAGTAGACAGTTATATGCAGTTGAAAGTTTTTAATGTGATAGTCAAACAAATTGTAGATGATTTCTTACTTCATTTAAAGTCAGTTTCAGTTGCTTTGAATAAAAATCAGAAGGATGATTGCAGAATTCCTAAAGCTGTTAAAATTTGGAAAAGATCTTGTTGAAAGAGGTTAAAAAAAGTTTGACAAGGCTTGCAAAATTTATTAAAACATGATATAAACAAGCACTGTTATTAGCATGTATTTTATCGTTGGAATATAAACTATGCCATACTAGAAAGTACAAAAAAGGAATTATTAATAGAAAGGAAAATTGTATAGATACTGCATTGTTGAGCTTTACATTAAAATTTATAATTCATGCTCCACTTTTCTTTGAAAACAATTTTGATAATGGGGCAACCTAGTCGATGATCACTCTTGAATAATGGAATCAACTCTTGTGAAAAAAATGCATAAGATTCTTCCCCTATGTACTGGATACCGCTAAAAGGTTAAGCACAGCAATAGCTTCATCAGCATTGATTGAAGGAATGTTTATTAGACAAGAAATTAAGAAATCATTTAGAAGTGTAAAAAGCAGAAAAGCTTTTAGTTATATTTAAATCACTCAATGCAAATGGCAGTTATACAGATATAATATGCTAAACTGTTTTGAACTGTTTAAAAGTTAGCTAGATTTCAGATGTGTGTGCGATTCCACTGGCTATATTTATCGATTGTAAAATTATATTTATAACTACAGGACTGTTGTTACTATTTTGGTGGTTTATCTGTGTTAATATGTGTGTATATGTAAGTTTATATTTCATTGACTAAAGTGAATTTCCCAGTTACTAATTTTGTAAAACTGCCAAGATATTTCATTCTGTTTTATGCTAATTAAAAATTTATACAATTTATATTTATAATTATTAATTATATTAATGTGTGTTAAAATAACTATGCTAATATAATTCAAAGTTTATTTGCTCTCAAAATCTTCAATGTGCCATTTAATTAGTTAATTTAGAAAGAAAAACTCCTTTTTCTTGTTTCCTTTCTTCTAATTCTCTTAACTTTAATAGGTTATCTTTAAGTAATATTCTAGGCATAAAGATTTTCCATTCATTGCTTTGAAACTTGATAATGTTTAATGCATATGAAAGTTGGGACTTATCATGCTTCAACTAATTATCAAGCATATTTAAATATTTATGTATTTCATACATCTGAATTGTATCCTTTGAAAGTATCTAATAACCATATTAAAATTATCATTAATAAATAAGTTGTTTCTAATTGTATGTGCATTATTTTTCAAATGTTTCTTGTTCTGTGTTGGTGTTGATTTTTATTTATTCATTTTGACAAAAACTGTTGTGGTTCTGCTAGTTTAATAATCCCTAACTTTCATTGCATGAACAGAACTTTGTTTAAAAAAATGTTAGACATAAGTATCAATTTTTATATTGCCATTCATAACTGAATTGTATATTTTTACTCAAGCTTCTGTGACTGTTATGAAGCTGAAATTGGTCCATTATCTGTTGTTGATACATTTGAAAACATGACAAAGGATGAAATTCCACACTTGGATCCTACTGCGCATGATAATCCTATCCCTAGAAGTCCAAAAGGGGTACCTTTGGAACATTTAATTGCATGTGTTACAGGTGTGGAGGTTGCAAAGTCAGTACTTTGCATTAAAAAAGTTCAGTGGCTGGAAAATAAAGCACCAGATTTTCAAGGTATGCATTTTAGTCTTTTTGAAAAGAGGAGAAAAGGATATTTTAATACATTTTTTATCACAATAAAATACTCTGTATTTTTCAGGCATCAGAAACATCAATCCTGCATTAGCTGGTCCTTTGACTTTGTTTGGTCGAGAAGTAATGGATCTTCTTAAAAGTCAGCCTCAGTGTTTAGTTCCTTTTAGTAAATTTATTCCTACCTATCATCACCATTTTGGAAGGCAGTGTCGTGTTGCTGATTATGGTTTCACAAAATTAATTGATCTCCTTGAAGCTGTACCTCATATAGTTCAGGTATCTTACCAAGTTATCAGTATTATATGATTTTATTTTCTCTTGGTATCCATCTGAATTTTTTCATTTATCAGAAATTTTATAAACTTATCTAATGAGTTGCTATGTAATTGTGTAACAAAGTGAAATTAATTTATGTTATTAAATTTTGTTACTACTGAATATTATTCACTTTAGTCAGTAGTAATAAAGTTAGTACAGTTAAAAGTCTTTAATCCGGACTCGTTGGGACTTCAGCGATTCCGGATTATCGATTTTTCCGTAATATAGATCATCAGTTTAAATCTGGTAAGATGGCATGCAGAAATTATACAATTTAAAATATGAAATCGTAATTTATGAAATAAAGAGCAATTGTGATCTAAAGGGTATCAAAATTTACAAAAAAAAAAACTTAATATTTATTTGTTTACTTTATTAAACATTTCTATCAATGCGCGCATGTGTAAAGCGTACATTACGCATAGTCGAAATTTGAAAATTGCAACCAGAAAACTATTTTATGCGTATTTGTGATATTTATAATGACAAGGAAATTGATTAAATCATATCGGAGTGCATTGAGATGAAACACTACATTTAGTAAGGAATTATAAGCCGAATAAAATAAAAACATCTGCCCTGAAGATGAGGATAGTGCTGACAGATCAACTTCCACTTCATTGCCCGCTGCTCTGTGGGGGGGATCCCCCCCCACAGAGCAGCGGGAAATTGATAAACAGATTTCGGAAACAGAGCAGCGTGAAATTGATAAACAGATTTCGGAATGGTTAGAGAAACAGATCACCTCTCTGTCACTTTCTTCGTGCCTTTATCCATTTTTTGCAGCAATTCCACTTTTTGTTTAATGGACATTGAAACATGCTTTCGCTTTGTAGATCCTTTGGCAGCTCCAGAATCGAAATTCTATTTGACATAATCGAAAGTTCAAGCTTACTTTTATAAAATTGCTCTAACAATCTGCAAAAAATAATAAGCCGGATCAAATTCGAAGATTAAGGAACAGCGCAATCTGCAACATTAACTGAAATAGATAATTAGATAATTTTAGCTTAGCTTATACCGTCCGTTATACATTAAATGTGCATGTGTAAACATATTAAGCGCATGCGTTAACACATTATGTGTTTATGCATGCGCAGAAAGTTTGTAGCTTTGAGGTCCGGATTATAGATCATTCCGGATTATGGACGCCCGGATTAAATTTTAACTGTATAAAAAAAGTAGGATTTAAACATGTGTTTAAAATAGTACTTATTATTATACCATGGATCTGTGAAGAATTTATTTAAAACTTGGTGTTCATTTTTTTAATGTTGATCTATCACTTTCTAAATTATATCAAGTTGTTACCGCCAATCATACATACTAGTATAGTTGATTGTATTATTTTAATTCAAATAATGGTAATTTAGTTTAAACATACTTAATTATATATTAGTTATAGGTACTTGAAATTTATCAACTCTATCTGAAGATTTTAAAACAATTAATTACGGAGCACCTTTCTCTGTTTCACACATTTGCTGCCAATCGCGCTCTTGCACATGGTGTGGGGGTGATGTCCCAGGTGCCTGTCACATGCTGGTGCAAGAAAAGCAGCATCTGAATTTTTAATTTCAAGTTCAGTCAGCAGTGCATTTTGAATATGTATGCTGGTATTGCCATGGAGTGAATGCTAGAAACTAGTTGTAAATGTATGTCATTTGGAATGGAAAGTCTCATTTTGAGCAAAGATCATACATGAATAAATATTCTGAAATGCATAATTTGCAATATCATTGTAACTATCTTGTAATATATTTGTTTCTGATGTATTTTCGTAATATAATGCATATTTTTACTTGTTTTGTTTCACTTTTAAATGCATATTCTGGCACATAATAATAAAATTCTATGCTTAACATGTTGACTGCCATGGCACTTTTCGGCTCCAGTCCGAGGAGCCAAATCAATTTAATCATATGTTATAAATTTTTATAATTACAGTTTTGTTCGTTTTTTAATAAATTTTCTGATCATGCAAGCCAGCATTGATTTTTTGTTCTTTTCCCACAAGACACCTATCGATATTAGCACTGATATATTCCGAGTTTAATCGTAGCTGCACAAAAATGGCAAGTAAACACAGTACGAGATAACTCGTAGTTGGTGTGTCCTAGAAGAGAACACAATGTACGAGTTATCTCGTAGTTGGCAGTCAATGTGTTAAAGGCTTAGTAATCAATGTGGTGCACATAACCATTTATTACCTCTTTTAAATCATATTACTTATAAGTAAGTTTACGTGTGGGTACAATCTATTTCTATGACACAGCATTAACTATCAATACAATCTCGCGACTGGCAGGGAAAGTGTTAATGCATAACTAATTAATTATATGATTTTGTATCCATCTGCATTTCTCAGCAATATGAATTACAGAATTTGTTTATTGGGATGATACTGAATAGTTTGAAAATAAGTCATTAGTGTACTTTTTAATGGGAAAAATGCAATACCATGAAAATTGCTTTAAATTAAACTTTGCGTAAAGCTAGAAAAACATAAAATCTGACTATCTGGCATTCTTCTAACTGGAATGTTTTAGAGTTTTAGAAAAGAATTTTCCTTTGGAAAATTAAGTAAATGGGAAATATATAATTCCATTATAGAGCGCATTATACTACAGTACAAAGTCTGAGATCTAGGATTTGATTAGGCACTTCTGGATTTGGTATTTTCGAGGTGTTAGATTGTCTTAAATTAAGTTATATGATATTTAGAAATTATAAAATTGAAGATATGAAATAATGAAGCATTTATGACATTAAGGAATCCAGATTTATGAAAAAAAGCTAAATATCTGCTTGTTTGCTATATTAAACATCTCTTTCAGTTTACATTGTTTAAGTTACTTTGTTTTTTCATACTACTTTCTCTTTGATTCTATAGATAGACTTAACTCATTGTTCAATTACAAAGTTCCATTGGTAATTGCTATGTTCAGAATTCCTACTAAATTGTTAGTCAAAATTTATTCTCTCTCAGCAACCTCTCTGTCACTTTCTTGGCTATTGGTAGTGATATTTTCTGGATTTAGAACCATGCTACAAATTTCACCCTCTATTAGTTGATTGATGATCGGGGCATTGTCATTACAATTAAGAACTTCTGTTGTATCATCTTCATTTATTGCCATTTCCCATATTTCTTCACTAATTCTATTAATTGGAAAATTTCACTTTGTTTGCAATACCTGAAAAGCTTCAGATTCATAACTATTATCATAAAGCTTAGCTAGAATACACTATACACTTTTAGCAATGTATCATGGGATTGACTAAAGATATGTTGTTATGCTAAATTTGAGTTTCCTGAACAGTTGAGCTTTTATTGCACATTAATAATGATATCTTTAATTATTACACTTACAGGGTAATCACAAAGAAGAAAGGTCACCATTTTAATGAGGCACTGATTAAGTAGCTGATTATGTGTTGTTGATCTGCATCTTATCTATTTTTTCTCCATTATTGATCCGAATCTCCATTTCATTGTGAGAGTATTGTAGAAATTCATGCAACAATAAATCATATCTCATGTGTTCTTGATTGGCAAGGGATGTTGGGGGATTATATTGGCCAAAAAGCACTTTAAGACTTTGCAAAGGTTGCTCAGTATGTTATTTATTTTTCAAAAATTTCACACATGGATGTAATTTTGAGCTTTGAAACCTGTGCTTCAATTTCAGTGACTTAAACTCCTTTTGGTTGTAGAAGGGAATATTCAAGTATAATATAATGTGATAATAAAGATTTATTCTGTACATGTATGAAAATTAAGCATTGTTTGGAAATGCTTTTCTTGTGAAGCTCTGAGTAGATAAATTTAACTGCTGCTGATTAAAGTTTTTTAAAAGATGATTCTGCATTTTTTGGAGGAGAGGTGGATTAGATAATTATGCCTCAAAAGAGATGAGTGGATCTTTCTTAGTGCTGACATGGTATCAGTCAGCTTGATATGGAGCAATTTTATTAAAGATATTACTGTTTTCTCTGATGTTGTCTGCTCCGATTTTTCATTTCTGAAAATTGTTTCAAATAAGGTGGTATGATATCCAGAGACTGTTTCTGATTCTCTAAGAGTTGTCACCTTTTGATGACTAGTGTGTGATTTTATTAGTTAAGTACAGTCGACAGGGGGCCAGATTGTTCTAGTAACTGCTAAAAGTAGTGGTTATTATAAAATTAGAATTGTGAAATTTTAATTGTAAATCTGGTAACTGGTAGATCAATATTTACTAAAGGGATTGTATGGTTAGATACTATGAGTCCGTGCTCCTTTAAATATCACATGCCAGATGAGCATGGTATAAGTGGAATCATCAGCATGTGAACTGGAAAACAGGTAAGCAATCCAATATACTATTTATGGATGAATCAAAATCTCTGCTGGAATTTCATGAGTGGAGAGAAAAAGAAACAAATACAATAATATTATTGAACACCACTCCATCAAAACTAACAGTACAATGATGTAAGCTAAATTTTCTTTCAATTGCTGCATTATTTGAACATTAGTATAAGAAGTGCTGTAATGGCTCGAAGGTATCAAGATGAAATTGTTGATTTCATTGTAAAACTGTAGGCTGTAATAGCTAGTCTAACATTTATCCTTATGCATGTTGTACTATCTCCACAATGAGCAAGTCTGGAAACAAAGCAAACCTCAATGATTGCCTCAAAAATTAAGGCTTATGATGATATCGAATGGCCATTTTATTCTCCTGCTGGTGACTTTGGATGGCTTGTCTTTGCGCATATATACCTACAAGCTGAAAACTGTTCTGTTAGGGGAACAGTAATTATTGCTGTGGTATGCTTGATAACCAAGTACTATGTAACATTGCTGCATAGCTTGCGAGAAGGTTAAAAATGTTTACATCCTTAAGAGTTATTTTTTCCATACTCTGCCCTTTTTTGATGAAGAAAACTGTGATGTATGTATGCAAATGATT